CCCAGTGCTCCCAGTGCCCCCAGTGCCCCCAGTGCCCCCAGTGCCCCCAGTGCCGTGTCCCAGTGCTCCCAGTGCTCCCAGTGCCCCCAGTGCTGTGTCCCAGTGCTCCCAGTGCCCCCAGTGCCGTGTCCCAGTGCTCCCAGTGCCCCCAGTAACCGCAGTGCTGTGTCCCAGTGCAAGCGCGTGTACGGCGGCCCCGCCGCGCTGCAGCTGAGCCTGGACGGGAAGAGGCTCTACGTGACCAACTCCTTGTTCAGCACCTGGGACCGGCAGTTCTACCCCAGCCTGCTCAAGTGAGCAATTCCCGCCTGGAAAAGGCTCCCCCCGGGCCGGGCCGGGGCTGGGGAAGGGGCCGGGACCCCCCCGGGGCTCTCCCGGAGCCGCTCCCGGCCGAGCCCCCCCGGCCGGGCAGGGATTGAGCAGAGCCCGGGCTGAGCTCGGCCCCGAGGGGATCCGGCCCGGCCTGAGCCGATCCTGGGGGATTTGGGGAGGGAAAAGTGACCCCGATCCCATCCTGATCCCATCCGGGGGGATTTGGGGAGGGAAAAGTGACCCCGATCCCATCCGGGGGGATTTGGGGAGGGAAAAGTGACCCCGATCCGATCCGGGGGGATTTGGGGAGGGAAAAGTGACCCCGATCCCATCCTGAGCCCATCCTGGGGGATTTGGGGAGGGAAAAGTGACCCCGATCCCATCCTGATCCCATCCTGGGGGATTTGGGGAGGGAAAAGTGACCCCGATCCCATCCTGATCCCATCCGGGGGGATTTGGGGAGGGAAAAGTGACCCCGATCCCATCCGGGGGGATTTGGGGAGGGAAAAGTGACCCCGATCCCATCCTGATCCCATCCGGGGGGATTTGGGGAGGGAAAAGTGACCCCGATCCCATCCGGGGGGATTTGGGGAGGGAAAAGTGACCCCGATCCCATCCGGGGGGATTTGGGGAGGGAAAAGTGACCCCGATCCCATCCTGATCCCATCCGGGGGGATTTGGGGAGGGAAAAGTGACCCCGATCCCATCCGGGGGGATTTGGGGAGGGAAAAGTGACCCCGATCCCATCCGGGGGGATTTGGGGATCCAAAGCCGTCCCCGCTGCCCCCCCGGCCCCTCCTGCCGGGGCTTTTCCCCATTCCCAGGGGCAGCCGGGGGGGATCCGGAGCCGCCCCGATCCCATCCCCGCTGTCCCGGGCCGGCCCTGGCGGTGCCGGGAGCGGCTCCGGGCGGCCCCCGGGGCTCGCTGTCCCCACGAGCCGCCGCTGTCCCCGCGCAGGGAGGGCTCGGTGATGCTGCAGCTCGACGTGGACACGGACAAGGGCGGCCTGGCGGTGAACAAGAACTTCCTGGTGGATTTCGGCAAGGAGCCGCACGGGCCGTGCCTGGCGCACGAGATTCGCTTCCTCGGCGGCGACTCCAAATCCGTGTCCCCGGCCTGAGCGAGCCCCGGGAGCGCCGCCCGCCCCTCCCGGCAGCGCTGCCAGGCCCGGCCTCGGGGCTCCGGGGGGATCCCGGGCGCTGGGGGGCCCTGGCTGGGGCTTGGGGTGCGCTGGGTGAGGGTTTGGGGTGTCCTGGGTGAGGGTTTGGGGTGTCCCGGGTGAGGGTTTGGGGTGTCCTGGGTGAGGGTTTGGGGTGTCCCGGGTGAGGGTTTGGGGGCATTCCCGGCTTTGGGATCCCCTGGCTGAGGGGTTTGGGGTCCTCCTGGTGATTCCGGCCTTTGGGAATGCCAGATTTGGGATCCTCTCGGGTGATTCCGGGCTTTGGGATTCCCCGTTCCCGCTGGAATCTCGATCCTCTTTCTGGGAAAGCAGAGCCGGGACTCGCGGCTGTTCCCGGGATGTCCCCGGGCTGTCCCCGGGCTGTCCCCAGGCTGTCCCCGGGCTGTTCCCGGGATGTCCCCGCTGTCCCCGGGCTGTCCCCGGGATGTCCCCGGGATGTCCCCGAGCTCTCCGGGAGCCTCCGGAGCTTCGGCAGCGCCGGGAGCAGCGAGGGCAGCTCCGGGCTCGGATCTGTCCTGGCCCAGTCCCTGGCCCGGGACATTCCCGGTCCCATCCCAGCCCATCCCGGTCCCATCCCAGTCCCATCCCGGTCTATCCCGGTCCCATCCCAGTCCCATCATGGTCCATTCCCGGTCCATTCCCAGCCCATTCCCGGTCCATTCCCGGTCCCATCCCGGTCCATTCCCGGTCCCATCCCAGCCCATTCCCGGTCCCATCCCGGTCCCATCCCGGTCCCGGCTCCGCTGCTCCGCCCGGCTCTGCTTTATCCCGCACTCAATAAAGTCGTTCCCTGCATCAGCCGCAGCTTCCCGAGCCTCATTCCCGGAAAGATCCCGGGACAAACCCCGCCCGTTTTTCCCATGGATTCCCCACCCCCGGATCCACCCGGAACACCGGGAATGCCCGTGGGATTGGGGTGGGATTGGATGGGATTTAAGGATCTTTTCCATCCCAAACCATTCCAGGATTCCCTGGGCTGCTTTCTTTGCTATTTTCGGGATAAATCCTGGATCCTGCCCAAGATTTTCCATGGATTCCCCATCCCTGGGAGTCTCCAGGACCCCCTGGCACGGCGGGAATGTCCCCAGCCTGGGATTTTTAAGGATCTTTTCCATCCCAAAGCATTCCAGGATTCCCTGTTTTGGCTCAGATGGGATTTTCAGGATAAATCCTGGATCCCAGCCCAGATTTTTCCATGGATTCCCCACCCCTGGATCCACCTGGAACACCGGGAATGCCCGTGGGATTGGGGTGGGATTGGATGGGATTTAAGGATCTTTTCCATCCCAAACCATTCCAGGATTTTTAAGGGTTTTTTTTTTCTGCATTTTCGGGATAAATCCTGGATCCTGCCCCAGATTTCCATGGATTCCCCACCCCTGGAATTGCTCAAACCCATCCCAGGGATTATCCCAGGGGGTGGAACCAGACGATCCAACCCCAAATCCCACAAATCCCAAAATCCCGACGCCCGACTCGGCGTTCCGAAGCCGCAGCCGCCTCTGACTCAACCTCACCCCAATTAAAACCTCGCTCCGGCCCCACTTTTCCAGTTTTTCCCTTTCCCGATTAAAATCTGCCAGCTCCCCAAAATTCCTCCGGGAATGTGGGAATTTCCCTCCCACCTTCCGAAGGAACCCCTGGAAAAATCGGGAATTTCCAGCTCCTCCCACGCCCCGGGGATTTGGGGATTTTAGGATCCAACCCCTCCTCTCCCTGGATTTATTTTATTTTTCCCAACCCCGGTTTTGTTCCCTTTTTTTTTTATTTATTTGGAGTCTCCCGGAGCTGCTGCTGCTTCTCCTGCTTTTCCCTGGAATTTTTCTTTTTTTTTCCCGGTTGGAATGATGGAGGTGGGATCCTTCCCCCCGAAATCCGACGCAGGTAAGAGGCTCCCACAGGGAGAAAATTCGGGAATTTTTCCTGCTCTGGGATCTTCCCGTAATCCTTTAGGAGCTGTTGGAAATTGGGATTTTGTGGCTCTGACGGGCAGAAAACATGGAAAAAAAATGGGATTTTTTCCCATTTTCCAAACCCCAAATGGAATTTTTCCCCATTTTCCCAACCCCAAATGGAATTTTTCCCCATTTTCCAAACCCCCAATGGAATTTTTCCCCACTTCCCAACCCCCAAATGGAATTTTTCCCCATTTTCCCAACCCCCAAATGGAATTTTTCCCCATTTTCCAACCCCCCAAATGGAATTTTTCCCCATTTTCCAACCCCCAAATGGAATTTTTCCCCATTTTCCAGCCCCAAATGGAATTTTTCCCCACTTCCCAAACCCCAAATGGAATTTTTCCCCATTTTCCAAACCCCCAATGGAATTTTTCCCCATTTTCCAACCCCCAAATGGAATTTTTCCCCATTTTCCAAGCCCCAAATGGAATTTTTCCCCACTTCCCAAACCCCAAATGGAATTTTTCCTCATTTTCCCAACCCCCAAATGGAATTTTTCCCCATTTTCCAAGCCCCAAATGGAATTTTTCCCCATTTTCCCAAACCCCAAATGGAATTTTTCCCCATTTTCCCAACACCCAATGGAATATTATTATTTTTTATTTATATTACTAATTATTATTTACATAATTTATATTATTTGTAATTATTATTTCTATTATTTCCATCATTATTAATATTAATATCCTTTATATTATTATGATCTCTATTATTTGTAATTATTATTTATATAATTTATATTAATATTCTTTATAACTATTATTTCTATTATTTCTATTATTTCTATTTATATTATTTGCAATTATTATTTCTGTTATTTCTATTATTTATATGATTTATATAATTTATATTTATATTATAATTACTTCTACATTTCTATTATTTCTAATTACTTCTATTATTTCAATTCATATTATTTTTAATTATTTCTGTTATTTATATTGTTTATATTATTCATAATAATTATTTCTATTATTTCTACCATTATTATTTATCATTTTTAATACAATTTCTCTAATAATAATCACTGTAAATAATTACATAATTATTTATAATTATCACTAATATTATTAATATCATCACGATTTCTATTATTTCTAATTTATATTAAAAAAAACGGATTCAAATCCACGATTTTGGCTCTAATTCCCGATTTTTTCCCCAGGAAAATGCGGATCGTGCGGTCCTGGCTACGCCTCCCCTCTGGAAGCGATGAAAGGCGAGCCCGGAATTCCGGGAATTCTGGATTAGCCGGAAAATCCCGTCCTCCGGAACCGGAATTCCCACGGAGAGAATTCCCTGGAAATCTGGGAATTCCGGAGTTTCCCCGTCCCGCCCTTCATCCCTGGGATTGGGAAAGGATTCCCTGGAAATTTGGGGCTGGATCCGAGGATTTTGGGTCTCCGCCTTGGATCCGAGGATTTGAGTTCTCTCCCTGATTTAAATCCAAGGATTTGGGGCTGGATCCAAGGATTTTGGGTCTCTGTCTTGGATCCAACCACTTGTCCTGGGTTGGGATTTGATTCCTTCCCATTCCCATTCCCATTCCCATTCCCATTCCCGTTCCCATTCCCATTTCCCATTCCCACATTCCCATTCCCAATCCCGATCCCGATTCCATTCCCGTTCCCATTCCCAGTTTCCCATTCCCACATTCCCATTCCCATTTCCCATTTCCCATTCCCATTTTCCCATTCCCATTCCCATTCCCAGTTTCCCATTCCCACATTCCCATTCCCAATCCCGATCCCGATTCCATTCCCGTTCCCATTCCCAGTTTCCCATTCCCACATTCCCATTCCCATTTCCCATTTCCCATTCCCATTTTCCCAATCCCAATCCCATTCCCAGTTTCCCATTCCCAATCCCATTCCCAATCCTGATCCCATTCCCATTCCCATTTTCCCACATTCCCATTTTCCCAATCCCCATTCCCATTCCCACATTCCCATTTTCCCATTCCCATCCCCATTCCCATCCCCATTCCCATCCCCATTCCCATCCCCATTCCCATTCCCAATCCCATTCCCACATTCCCATTTTCCCAATCCCATTCCCATTCCCATTTTCCCATTCTCCATTCCCATTCCCATTTTCCCAATCCCGATCCCATTCCCCATTCCCATTCCCATTTTCCCATTCCCATTCCCATTTTCCCATTCCCACATTCCCATTTTCCCATTCCCACATTCCCAATCCCATTCCCATTCCCAATCCCATTCCCACATTCCCATTTTCCCAATCCCATTCCCATTCCCATTCCCATTCCCATTCCCATTCCCATTCCCAATCCCATTCCCACATTCCCATTTTCCCATTCCCATTCCCATTTTCCCATTCCCACATTCCCATTTTCCCATTCCCACATTCCCAATCCCATTCCCATTCCCGATCCTCTCAGATCAGCTCCTCCAGGGATGGGATCTTGGATTTGGGAATTCCGGGGATCCCAAGGATCTCTTCCCAACCTCAATCATCATCCCGGACTTCCCGAGAGAGCCCGAAATCCACGGATCCCATCCCAAAAAAAATAAAAAAACCCTCAAGGAACAGCGGGAAAACTCGGATCCAACCATCCCAAAAATTCCACTCCGGGAATTTTTCCCTCCTCCGGACCTGGATTTTTCCAACATTCCCGTTTTTCCAGGCCCTCGGGAAAAGATCATCTACGTGCCCTGCATCTACAGGAACACCGGGAAGGGAATTCCCGATTTTCTGGCCACGGTGGACGTGGATCCCGAATCCCCCTCCTACAGCCAGGTGCTTTTCCACGGGAAAAAAATCGGGAAAAGGAAATCCCAAAATTTCTGGGATTCCCGCCCAGGGATGGTGGGATGAGGGTGTGGAATCATAAAATCATGGAATTACGGAATTTTCCAGGTTGGAAAAGGCCTTTAAATCCCCAAAGTGCCACATCCACACTTTTTTTTTTTTTTTTCCCTGGGAATTCCAAGGATGGGAATTCCCCGCCTGATCCCATTTTCCAGGAAGGAATTTCCGCTTATATCCACTGATCCCAAAAAAAG